ACCAAAGACTGTGAAATGGATATGTGTATAGTTCTTGTAATTCTGGTGTGTATTGTGCATGCATTTTTTCTAATTTTTATATTTTAGTTATTTATTTATTTTCATTTTAACTGTATGCACTGCTCACAGAGATACTCCAAATTTCACTGAACACAGGTACAATGACAAATAATAGCATTCTATTCTATTCTATTCTATTCTATTTTATAACAAGGTAAACTAAAAATATGTAAAATTCAGAAAAGTAAAAACTGAATTTATATTAAAGTGACCACAATAACAGTATATTCATCTATTTTCTTATTTTGTTTAACAGTATATATGAAATACAAAGTGGTAAAACTTTACATCTATATAGTTATAGATAGTATATAATATATGTGTTATTATACATATAGTTCTCTTACTTATAAAGATATAATTCATAAGACATTAAATAACTGAATATTTTTGTGTTTTTTCATCAAAAAGGAATACACAATTTTGAATAAATTACTTGACTCGTTTTTTCTTATATAAAAATGCCGTTTAACATATGAAAATACGAATAAATGAGAAATACATTATTTATACCATCAGCTAAACCCGAATTATACCGCACAGGCCAAACATCCCCAGGCTGAAGTGTCCTATAATGTGTCCCCACCAATTTGCCTACAGGACAAATCGTTCCACCGAGGATGCTATCACCATAGCGCTCCACACTGCGCTGCGCTGTGTGGACACGCTGCGCTGAGTCACCTGGAGCACCGAGGAAGCTATGTGAGAATGCTCTTTCTGGACTTCAGCTCAGCATTCAATCATATCATCCCGGAGATCCTGGTCCAGAAACTGTCTCACCTGGGACTCTCCACCCCCATCTGCCTCTGGATCAAGGACTTCCTGACAAATAGACCACAGTCTGTCAGACTCGGCCCCCACCGATCCAGCACCATCACACTCAGCACCGGGTCTCCACAAGGATGTGTTTTGAGTCCCCTCCTGTTTACGCTTTACACATCCGACTGCTCCCCTACCCATCTCTCAAACACCATCATAAAGTTCGCGGATGACACCACAGTGGTTGGACTCATCTCAAGGGGGGATGAGTCGGACTACAGAGATGAGGTCAACAGACTGACTGAGTGGTGTTCAGTTAACAACCTCCAACTGAACACCACGAAAACTAAAGAACTTATCTTGGACTTCAGGAAGGGCAGAGCAGACCCGCCCCCACTTTACATTCACGGGAGCTGTGTGGAGAGGGTACACTCCATGAGGTTTCTGGGCATGCAGATCTCTGATGACCTCTCCTGGACTGCAAATACTACAGCGGTGGTTAAAAAGGCCCAGCAGCGTATCCACTTTCTGAGAGTGCTCAGGAGGAACAACCTGGAGGAGAGGCTGCTGGTGACATTTTACAGAGCCACCATAGAGAGCATCCTAACGTACGGCATAACAACATGGTATGCAGGGTGCTCAGCTGCAGACAGGAAAGTACTGCAGAGGGTCATCAACACAGCCCAGAAGATCACTGGCTGCTCTCTGCCCAGCCTGGAGGTCACTGCAAACTCTCGGTACCTCAGCAGAGCTGGCAATATCATCAAGGACCACTCTCACCCCAGCAACCAACTGTTTGAACTATTACCGTCAGGCCGACGGTACAGGTCACATAAAACCAGGACAAACAGATGCAGGGATAGCTTCTTTCCCAGAGCTATCACCGTAGTAAATAAGCACAAAAACAATTGAACCTATTCCATACCGTCACTGTCATTATATTATGCTGCTATTCATACTGTCATTATATTAATGCTGCTATCCTGTATATATTGTACATACTATTGTTTGCGTACTTACGATTGTTTTTTTTGTACTTTTTATATTTTACATTTATATTTATTATTGAAACTTGCACCAAGGGAGTGGCACTCCAATTTCGTTGTACTCTGTACAATGACAATAAAGGCTATTCTATTCTATTCTATTCTATTCTATAGCAAGGCACTGTCTGTTTACTATATGCAGAAAAACAAAAGCAAACAAATAAAACGAGTCTTCCGTTCTCGTTTGACATAAAAAGCACGTGATTCAATCCGCAAGCGATGCGTGGATCCCGACGCGCCGGTGACGTCGACAGAGAACGACGTTTCCGTAGCAACTGGGGCCGGTCCGTTATAACTGCAGCGGTCGCTTACAACCGGAGCTGATCGAGGAGTGACTGGGGGGGAAGAGTGTCGTCGGTAACCGGACACCCACCTCTGGCTCGCGGCGGGGGGGTGTAGAGACACGGGGGCGACGTAGTATCGAGGCGGCGAAGCCCGCAGCTGTGCGCGGAGATGCTGAACATGTGGAAAGTCAGAGAGCTGGTGGACAAAGCGTGAGTACCGATGAGCAGGTGGAGCTAAACCGCTAAGTGGCTTCTGAGCTAAGCGGTTAGCCGGGCGGCTCGAGCCGGGCAGCATCAGCAGCTTTTAGTGCTGTGACGTCACGGCGGTAGCCCTCAGCTGTTAGCGTCGACTAGCTGGCTAGCTGCCAATCTCTAACACTGATGCTTTAAATATAGATGTTTTTTTTTTTTTGTTTCTTTTTTAAAGCTCTGTCTCTACCCACGTTGCTTAAAAAATAACTAAAGTCAGGAGGGGAAAAGCGCGGTGCTATAAACCGGAGATGTATTTGTCTCACATCCAGAGAAAATGCTATCCTATTAGCTAATTTTGCTAGCATCGCTAAGCCCAGGTCGGGTATGTTATGAATGTTTCTATGCGTGCTGCTGCAGAATCACGCCCTGTCCCACCCTACAGTAGTGCCCGCTATCCTTAATGGGCCTTCATGATTCAATATAATATATAGAGAAAGCTAAGCAGTAATCATGGGCATGTAACTGGTCGAATAAATGTATGTGGGCAGTAAATTTTTCCATTGCCTCGAGAAGCTACATCAGTCTGAGGAGGCCCATGTCCCCGTGGTCCAAACAACAAAGCTTGTTAGCCACTAAAACGACATGATCCAGGACCTAATGCTGGTGCTGCAGCCTGCCACATTGTACTGTTTGAACAGTAGATTACGCATGCTTCTTTGTGGTGTCTATTGTTGTATGCACAATGTGCTGCATAATGTGTACAGTCTCTGCACTGCAAGAACAACAGCTTCCTGTCACCTCAGGTCTCACAGAGAAACTGGGTTAGCTTTAGCGAGTTACCCACACTGCCTCAAATCTGTAAACGAAAATTGAGTTTCAAGTTTACTGAGATTATGTAGGTCAGAGAGTAAACCAACTTTTTTGAAAAGGTCCTTTCATTCATCTTTGGCTTATTCTCAAATCATCATATTTTCAGAACATTTTCTGCTCAACCACCGCTAATTTGGCTTAAATTACACGAAAGCTCGAATTTTATCTTTATATCTTAATTAGCCAATACTTGGATATCTTTTATATATCCATCCCAAAAAAAATTATCCTGATCCGTTATTTTATGGTAAGATAGTGAAAACTTCAGCTGTTTATATTTAATAGTTTTTGATATATTTGTTGGTAAATACTAATTTCAAAGTGAGGGAAGAAAAACATGGTGGATTGGGTTGACTATTATACTTTACAAGAC